GACTAGAATAAACTATCCCCAAATAACCGCTCCCCAACACAAGATAGACCTCATCACCCCTCCCCCGAATCATATGTCCATTCTTGAATCCATGAGCCTCAATCTCCAATAGCCTTCTTTCATTCATCATTAACTAATTCAACCCCCCAATCCCCCAACCCCCACAAAAGAAAAATGAAAACTTATTATAAATCATTGAAATGCTTGTTTTCATTTTTATGTCACTTCAATCCAATAAAGAAACATTAGTACTTATATTCTTAGCATCATCGTAGCCATGACTTCACCATGTTATTCTAAATTAACCACCTATTGGTGAAGGAGTTATGTTCACAGGTGCACAATTGTCAAATTTTAGATTTGTAACTCCCTGTTGTGCATGCCAGCCAAGAGGGCTTAGTTGGTGCACACTCCTAAATTCTTTTCTACCATGCATTTCCTTTACGAACCTCTTATGGTCAGGACCAACATTGGGTAATGGCTCTTTTTCTTCATCCTTTCATATACAATACTCTTTTTTCTATATTTAATACAATACATATCAGTTCCCCCAAAATATAAGATGGAAGAAAAGAAAAGGGTAAGATTTTAAACTGATCATCAGATCTATTTCTTATTAGATAGTTTGCTTCTAAACTCAGAATAACCCTCTAATAACGGGGTCTGTATAGGAGGGTGCAATACAGTTAAAGAAGTATGACTGTACAGAATAATCCTCTAATGAAAACCCATGTATAATGATGTTTTATAAAAAAAAGTAGACTGTAAATCAAGTAATAGATCTGTACTAAAAAATAGGGATGCATAGAGAACTTCTCTCACATTTTTTTTAGCAACAGGCAACAGCTATAATCTAAATGACCTGAAAGCTCTTTGCTGAAATATGCTCAGAATTTCATCAAACATATCTCAGCTTATTGGTTAAGGCTAATCATAAATATATTTTCTCTTTAGAAAGACAATATGTAGGGGTGATCATTTCCAGCCAAGCCTGGCCCAACCCACAAATTTCCAATCTTGGGCCTGGGTTTTGTGTTCAGGCCTGGATTGAGACTGACCCATGCCCACCCAAGAACCCAGTTAATTGGGACCAGTCTATAATTTTACCTTTCCATCAATCAACAAAAGGTGTGGGGCCACTCACAAATGCATGGAAAACTAGGAGAACATTAGAAAATATCTAAACTAGAAATATCAAGGCAACTCAATCCACAATTACTAGTGGTTGAAATCATCTGAACAAAATTGAATTTCAGGAACTATATATGCAAGTTCTTCAGCAATGCTATGGAAAATGAGGCTAAAAAAGAACCATGAACATTAGTCAAGTGTGAACAAGAATGTTCACACTAATTTAAGATAAATATGTAATGTGTAATGACTGGCATTTGGAAATTAATCCATATACTAATTTACTCTTCAAATAAATTTAACCATTGGACATAAATCGATTTTACTTAATTAGGTTTAGTCACGCCCTTAATCTTAATTTGGATGAGCTATTGGCTCAAATCTCCGTACAAGTATCTAATAAATGTAATCACTAGACATAAATCAGCAATTGAAAGTGCCATAAGCTTTGTTGGTCCTTTGGTTCTCAAGAAGAGACAAGTTCCTTTACTCATTCCACTATGTCCCTAGTCCTCCTACCTCCTAACACATATGACCAATAATTCTAAAAGATCCATACTAATGTAGATCAGCCATAACCAATGGTCATGATTGTATTAAAAAAAACATCTCTTTGGTAATTTTCCAAACACTTACCTTGCATCTTCAATATCTGTTATTGGAAGATAACCTAATAAGTGAAGAACCAACAAATCATTTTGTATTTAACCTGAACTTGAATCATCTGCATGAACTCCTCTTCCCAATTCAAATTCCTGATTCTATATTACTCTTCAAATTAAATGTTTGTATTGTTACTTCAGATCTGGATTTCCAAGTTTTAATTAATGTATCAATAACAAAAGATTGAAATCTTGATTTAGGAGTTTTTGTACCAAGAAAATTTCCGTTCCAAGTTGTCCATAAGTAATAAAGTTATTGGCAATGATGGCCAGAGACTAAGTTACAGTATTTTAGAGAGAGAGAGAGGGATTCTTACCTTGAGACTGTTGTCAATCAGTCTTTAGTTGGGCTATATTCTTCAATTTTGGAACACAAATTTCTTGGCTACAATACCTTACATAATCGATCACTTTAACTAGTAGATCAGTGGAACTACTAGAAAGACAACAATCTCTCTATGGTCCTACCTTTGGGCAGGGCTAGGCATAAACCAAAAACCTGTGCGCAAGCCCATGATTTGTAGGCTTCGCTGAGTTGAGTTTTTGAGTCAAACACCCCTAGTAGGGATGATGATGAGCCAGGTTTTAACAGGGTAGCAATGATGTTTATGGCTTCGGGCTTAGTTGTATTAGAAGAGTTCGGATCTCGTGCCCACGAGAACCTTGTCCATGTTTATCGCAGCCATACATGAAGAACATCTCATCCTCTACATAGTATTATATACGGGGAGATGTTTTCAATTTACGGGGATAATGTATTGTGGGTAGGCGTAGACAGAGTTCTTGTGAGAAGGAGATCCAGAGTCATATTAGAAAGCCTTAATTAATTAGAAAAATATTAATAATTAATAGAAATAGAAAATATTATTATTTAATTAATTCTTATTAAAAATTAATTAAATTCATATGTAATATTTAATTAAATAGTAATTATTATTGGGGTTAATTTACCCCTACTATGGGTTTTCAGATCAAGCAACCCTAGTAGGGATGATCATCATGAGCCAAATTTTTACAAGGTATCAATGATGTTTATGACTGCCCAAGCCCAACTCGGATGTTGGTCAGGCATTCATTCTTAATTGTGTACAAAGAATCTCTTATTAATCAAATAATGAATTACTTAATTAATTAATGGGTATTAAAAAGTCTATGTCAGGGCCTAACTCGGCCTAGGTTTTGAGCCTAAAACATAAGTCGGGGCCAAGCCCTACACATGCTCGTGCCTAATTAATTAAGTCTTATGTATAAAATGTTACATAAATATAATAATTTATATTAAATATGGTATACAATTAAACTTATTTTATACATTATATAATATAAATGTCACATATATAATACATATTATAATATTTATATATGATATATAGTATAATATAAAATAACATATATAATATGTATACATTATGTACAAACTATATACATATATTTAAATATATGCAGGCTGGGCTTGGCCTAAGATCAAACAAGTTAATGGTTCAACCATTATGGTCAACATTTTTTTTTGACTAGTTGTGGGGTTTAGAATAATGCCATCTATTACTCAAGACCAATTTGGTTAACGTTGCGTGTAGGGATACAAGTTAGTGAATTAACCACCCAATGCTAACCTGAACTTCAATCTTACCCAACTCAATCCAACATTTTCTAGTTAGGATCAGGCTTACTTGGCCAAAGTTGGAGCCCCAGTCATGTATTTCTTTTTGTAGTGGATTTCATGGGAGTTATAATTTCATAGTCGTGCGCCCTTGATATGGCATCCACCACATAACCAAATTTATTTATTTATTTATATTTTTAGATCATTAATTTAGTAAGAACTTATTTATTAAGTTATTTTAACTAGTATTCTACATTTTAATTATTATTTTATTATTTTCATTCTAAAATATGTGTTAATCGTTATTATTAATTAACAATTAATAATAATTATTTGCTATTTAAGTAATTTAATAAAAGATTATAAATAGGGCCATTATATAGTTGGACCTCTAGTCATGTGTTTCTTTTGTATATTTGTTCTTTTAATTATTATTAATTAGCAATCATTAATTATCATTATTATATTCATTAATAATTATTAATCATTAATTATTTTTAAGTTTTTCATCCATTAATTATTAGTTATCCTTATAGCGCTATGGATAATTAAAATTCATAGCTACAAAAAATAATATGGCTAAAGGTTAATTATAATTTATATAGCCACAGATAATTTAAGTCCGTGGCTATAACCATGAATAACTTTTAACCATGACCAAAGTGTTTTTTAACCACGAACAAATTACTCGTAGCTAAAGATAAATTTTCAGTTTCTATTACTTCTAGCACGGATTTAATTAACCGTGTTATAAATATCCATTAGCCACGGATAAAGTGAGATTTAGCTACGGATGAAATGGCCATAGCTAAAAGGTCAATGTTTAGCTACGAGTATTGATTGCCCATGGCAATATCCCATGTTTTAACCACGGATTTTTATGTTCATAGTTACATTGCAGTGGTAATAGACCTATTTTCTTGTAGTGCATGTATTTTCAAAGCATATATATATTCGAATTATCCAATACAAACCCGATACGAATACTTTAATCCTTGAATCAAACCTTTATGTTATGTTTGGCTTGAAGGAAAAGATAGGGAAAGCTAAGGAAACCTATACAAGATTTGTAAAGGTTTCCCTACATTTCCCTTCCTTTCCCTATTTTTCCTTCAAACCAAACATAGCCTTTAGCATCTAAAATTCTTTGATTTTACTATTTTACCCATAGAAAAGGCTATTTCATAATTTTGAATACAATTTAAAGTATCTCATAAAAAATAATTTATCAAATTCAAAATACTATTAAAATAATACAAATAAAAATTATTAGAATAAACAATAATCACTAAAAATAATTATTAATTAATAAATAACACAATAAAAATTATTAATAACTATTTAAAAGTATTAAAATAATTAGCACTTAATAAAAATTACTAATTAATAATTAATAATATTAAAATAATATGAATAAAAATTAATAAAATAAATAATAATTGATATAATTACAAAAAATAATTAATAATTAATAAAAATAATTAATACTTAGGTAGCCTGCCCCACAGAATGCGCCCTAAGGTCCCACAGCACACAGCACATTCCAACCGTGTATTGGGAACATCTACCAAGTACGGGAGATGTTCTCCGTATGTTGAGATCTGCATATGGGACGTTTTTGGGGTGGGCTCTGTGGGGGCAGATTTGAACTCGTTCGAGAAGGAAAGGAGATTTGCCGCAGTAGGTTCTGCTCGCAGGTTCATCATTTCTCGTTTTTCCCATATTTTTCTACGGTTTCTAGGAATTCAACATTTTCTAACATTTTCTGCTTATTTGTTTTTTCTCCATTTTCGTTGTGGTTTCAGTTAACATTCCCACTGGTGAACTCTAACCAGTGTTGAAGCAGCGGCGACGGTGAGTATTTTGGCTTTGTCTCTTTTTTCTCTGTTGTTTCATATAGCATTTGTTATTTAGGGTTTCGACTTGTAATTTATCTTTTTTTTTTCCTCTGTCGTTTCATATAGCATTTGTTATCTGGGGTTTCGATTTGATGCCTCTTTTTTTTTCTCTGTTGTTTCATATAACATTTGTTATCTAGGGCTTCGACTTGTAATCTATCTCTTTTTTTTTTCCTCTGTTGTTTCATATAGCATTTGTTATCTAGGATTTCGACTAGTTGGATAAACAGCCCTAACAAGGAATAAAGCATGGAGAGAAGTAGAAAAACAAATAAAACATGGTAAAGCTAGAATATGAGATGTACAAGCATGGAGGATATTGACATATATTTTGTCTTGGCAAAGGTTGGATTGAATATGAAATGAATTTGTTTTTAACAAGAAGTTTGTCGTCATTAAATAATTTTCCCATCTAACACTCAAATTGAGGAATGCTTCTAGGAAAGCTTCTCTTCATCAAATATCTTGACATTGACTTGAGAAAGGCATCCAACGGCCCACCAAATAGACAAGAAAGAAGAAAAAGAAACATGTATTAACTGAATCTCATATCCCTAGTAAGATTTTGATTCAACATTGATAATTTGAAATTTCAGATTGACAAAGACCCCCTACCAACATGAAATTTCAGTAATGTTAACTTTCCTTCCCTTTTGCTGCATGTATATGAGTAAGGAGTACTGCTATGAAGGCAAAATTTGCGGAGATCTAGTGCACTTTGAAAACTATTCTAATGGTATATTTGGATTAGCTAGAGTGTCATGAATTGTGAACAGGATTGAGGTTGAGGGTTGATTCAATTCTGCAATTTTTTGATTCATGTCATTTGAGATATTGCTTTGGGTTCACTTTTGTTAAGATTAGGGGAGATGTGAACTTCAACGGTTAGCAAGAGTTATTTGTAATTGTTTTAGGGGAGCAGGATTATGTAGCCCACAGGAGATGTGAACTTCAATGGTTAGCAATGAAATGATGGAGGTGATTGTTCCACCTTCCGGATTTTGTTTGATCTTTGCTTTTGTTTGAATGAGAAAGGGACTCTTCGCATGCATGTTCCTGCTTCGTAGGTATCTGTTTAAATCTTCACCTCATTAGGACTTTAATTTCATTTGTTCTGCTTGCCTTATATTGTTCATTATCTGTTACTAACACAGTAGGAAACCCTAATAGCTATATTGTGTGTAAACTTAGTGTTTCCGAACCAAAGGTAGAAAGTTTGTATGGAGATCTAGGTTTAAGGTATTACCTTTTCAAAACATACTGTTTTTTTTTTTTTTTTTAATGAGAGTTTTTATGGAGATCTATCTGGGTTTAAGATACAGACTTAGAGAACAGGGTTTTCTTCAATGAGCTTTGTGATTTTCTTTTTCCTTTTTTTTTTCTTTTTCATTTTGATCATTCAGATTTGAGGTTATTTATTGTATAGGGCTTAGTGCCCTAGATTTTGCTGATGGATTATTGTCTTCTTCTTTTGAATAGATGGTGCAAATTTCTGTTTCTTGTCAAGTTTGTTTTTTCAATTGATATTACGGTTGTTGTGTTCCTTGGAATTTATGTTTTCCTTTTTTGGCTGCATGGGGCTTGTTTCAGTAGAGATTTGAGAGTAGAGACTTCAATAGTGGAGAGAAGGAAGACTATCAAAGAAACCGGTGGTTTTTGAGCTCCGAAGTTGCAGAATTGGTAACTCGGTCAACAATGAGGTAACTTGTCTTCATCATGTTCTTCCAATCACTGTTTTAAACAAGGGCTCCTTTTCCCTTGTCACTGCTTTATCAGTGACCCCGTGGGATGTTTAGCGGGGAAATTTTACCAAAGAGAAAGAAATAATAAGAGATGCAAGCCCAGAAAAAAAGTAATGCGAAAGAGGGCCCAGGATGGGGTACTGAAAAGCAACCAATCCCAAAAACTGAAGCAAAATAATATTAATGATACCCAAATATATTTATGATTTTTACTAGAGAAAAGATTCATTTCCTCGTACATTTGTACATTTGCATGTATTTGTTGCATAATGCCAAATTTCTACTTGTTTCTTTTTGGTTTATCTGCTAATCAAACATTTGTGCTTTGAAGGTTGATTGGATATTAGAGGGACTGGGCTGGTAACCACTGAGTAGTTCTGATACAATTTAATTTTTGGAGTCAAGGAGCAATGGCTTCTGGTAAAGAGAGTGATGATGTCCAAACTCCTTCAATGCAAGTATCCAATTTTCTTGCTCACTCCTGCAGAAAATCTTTCCTAGAAGTTATTTTTTTTAATTGTATAAGTGATTGATATTGCTATCACTCGCTATCACTCTATGCTGATTTTTTTTCCACAATTGACCAAACCTAAGACCAAGCTTGCTCCCCCACCGTTTTATTATCCAAACTCTTGCATAGCATTTTTCTTATTTGTTATTCATGCAGGCCAAAAAATATATACAAGGATCCTGATGATGGGCGACAACGGTTTTTGCTGGAGTTAGAGTTTGTTCAGTGTCTAGCTAATCCAACCTACATCCATTGTATGTTATTTATTGAAAATTTTGGGAGGTCCTATTTGCATTGGCAATTGCTAGTTTGATTTATCTATGAGGCAGGCAATAGATCATGCAATAAAAATGATGGATGATATGATGCTATGCTTCTATTAGAGGGGATTAGGAAACACAAATTGATAAGGTCGAATAACTTATTTTTTATTTGAAATATGACATTTTTGGATAGCCAAGGGACTCATATAAATGTTGTTACTAAAATAAGATTAGAAAAGGTTATGATGTTCTTTTCATTTCTAAGCGGTAGGCAACATTCTATATTAATTTCTAGAAAAAATGGTCCAAGTACAAGGTTTTAAAAGTTACACATTGGTAAAAGTGGTCTGGGAAAGTACAACCTAAAAACCTAAAAACAATTTATCAAAAAACAAAGTACAACCTAAAAACAGGGAGTTCTACATAAAACTGTAAAAGCATACATATAAATAACCATAATCTAGTAGGTGAGGCCCTCAAATAAATCATCCCCAAGTTTTCCTTTCTAACAAGATAATCATCTCTGGAATTGGTTGATTTCTGAATCCAATTTGAATGAGGGGTTCAAACTAAACATCAAAGTGTTTATCTATCAAATTTGAGAACCAAGCTTCCTAGGGATATGCTTTTTGAATTATTCTTTATTTTTTGAAGAACTACTACGTTTTTTTTTTTTTATCAATAACACCAGCTTCATTAAATTAAAAGAAAAGAGGGAATATGGATACAAAAGGGGAGATAAAATATCTTAGCTCCCCAAAAACAGAAAACAAAGGGAACTGTTTTTTTTTTCATTGTTAAAGTTCCACAAACCACTATCCTCTGTCTTCAACCAACTAACCACCACCTTCGAATCGCCTTCGAGGATCAAACTACTGATATTTAATTCCTTTGCTCTTTGAATTCCTTCAAGCGCTGCAAGGATCTCAACCCTAAGAGAGTCACCTTCTCCAATAGGGCCAAAGAATAAAGCAATAACAATCCCTTCCTCATTTCTGAAGACTCCTCCAATCCCAGAGGGCCCTGGATTCCTTACACTGTTGCCATCAAAATTCAGCTTTATAAAGCTCGAGGGGGGAGGGGACCAAAACGGACAAAGGGTCCTCTTGCATCTAGCAATGGAAGCAATCTATCTCTTTCCAGTTTCTTAGCAAGTCATCCATAGGAAAATCTGAAAACAACTCCAAAGATTTTAGCCAGTGGACAACCCTTAGAAGGATTTGATCTAACAATTCTTCCAATGTTCTTTCCTTGTCGGAAAAAATGCGTGAGTTTCTTTCTTCCCACAATGACCAGCATACCACTGCCCTATTACACTTCCACATAGTCTTCCCTCACTTCCTAGGCCAACTGAAAAAAGGAGAAAACAAACCTTGGATAGTCTCCGGAGGATACCAAAAACACCCAAAACGGGAGAAAACCCACTCTCAAACAGTTTTAGCAGCCTTACAAGAGACCATGAGGTGGTAGCCAGATTCCCCATCAGCTTTACAAAGAGCACATCTATTAGGAAGTAGACAATAGTTGGGTCTCTTTCTCTGAAGTAAGTCTAAAGTGTTGATTCTTTCCAGGAAAATTTTCCAACAAAAAAAACCCACCCGAGGAGGAATAGGCCTGCTCCAAATTTTCTTAACTGGAAAGGACAACCCAAAGGGGATAGGAGGCTGAGTTAAGGTTTCAAAGAATGAAGCACAAGAAAAGGTAGGGGTCTAAAATCTGGTGTCTTTCTTAGCAGGGTTTAGGAAGACAATCTCAAGGGAGGCTAGCAAAGTTACCAAGCTATCCATGTCTGTATCCCTAATTGCCCTACGCAGGCCAAGGTTCCATCCAAAGCCAGAAGTGGAGGCTGAAGGGACCAAGAAAGAAGATATAGGTTCATTTTTCAAGTCTGATAGAGCATACAAGGAAGGAAACTGGTCCTTTAGAGGAGAATCCCCGACCCAAAGTTGTTCCCAGAATTTTATTYGRTTACCAGAGTTTAGACCATACYTGATCYAAGGGGAGAAAACTGGAAGCAGATTGTGAATGGATTTCCAAGGAGAAGTAGTTGAAGCCCTTGCCAAGATTCCAGGATCCTAGCCATCGTCTTCCAGCCCATGAATGCTAGCCACAATCTTAGTCCACAATTTATCCCTTTCCAATGAAAACCTCCACAACCACTTCCCCAGTAGAGCCATATTCCTTTTCTTGAAATTACCAATCCCAAGACCTTCTAGTTTTTTACACCAAGTGACCACCTCCCAACTCACCCTATGATCTCTCTTCTCCTCTCCAGGCTCCCACAGAAAGTTCCTTATTAATTTTTCCAAAAGATTGGAAACCTTTGAGGGGATCTTAAACATTGGCAAATAGTAGACAGGTAGGTTAGCTAGGGTAGACCTAATGAGAGTGACTCCCCCACCTAAAGAATGATAATTTCTCTTCTAGGCCGCCAACCTCTTTTCAAATCTCTCCACTACCGGAGCCCAAAAGCTAACACTCTTAGGATTATCTCCTAAAGGGTGGCCCAAGTATGTCAGGGGCCAATCCGAAATTGCACAACCTAGCTCACCTGCAAATTCCCTTAGGTCCCTTCCGCCACACAACTCTTATCAAAGTTTACCTTGAGGTTAGATATCTGC